ACGGTAAATGTATAAGCTCTACGGCCCTGCCACTGACAAGTGTCATGCCTTGTCATGCTTCGTTTCTAACAGTCCTTGGCCCATTTTTCCACTGTCTTATTTTTCAGTCTCCACTTCCCCTACCCCGGCATTCTGTGGTTAGGATATTACACATTCAGTAGAGAAGGGATGGTTACGGGGAGAAAGGGAAGTCAGGGGTGGCATTTAAAGTTTTACCCGATTTCCCAAACACTGATGAGAGCAAGGAGGCTAAGACTGACTGCTCTGCTCCCTCCCTGGCCCTGGTATGTCCTGGGCCTGCCCCTGCCGGCTGCTCACTCTCAAGGCCGAGGCAAAGATGCCTCTGAGTGCCACTCTGCTGAGGGTGGTGCTGATGCGGCTACCGATGGATGCAGGGTGCTCCTGTGCCCTAGGAGCCCTCCACACAGCTGCTCAAACAGTGATCTGGGAGAAACTTGTCCACTGCGACGTGTCACCAGCGTGCAGCCGCCGACCGTAGGCTGTGGGTGTCTGCCGAGTCCTAATCACATGCAGGTGCGCAGCCCTTTGCAGTGGCCAGTAGGAGGAGGCCCAGATGTTCTGCAGAGCCTGAGCAGGGTGGATTTGCAGGGGCGGCATTCTAGTCCCTCTGTGAGGGAGGGAGACCCTGCAGGTGCACTGCACCCCCTGGCTGTAATGGACGCCCAGTCACAGGGTCACGTTTCCATCCCAGGGAAGAGGAATTTTCCCAGAGACTTACCTAGTAAGGAAATCTGTCCCAACGTGGGGAGGTCGGCACAGGCCCCTTTGCCAGAATGTTTGAGGAATGCAATACAAAATGAAAATCTCCACTATCCCAGAGCACAGGCTTGTGTATTGTTGCTGTAATTCCCACTTGGGGTGCTGCACGGGGTTAGTGCTCAGCAAATAATAAACCACGTATTTGGTAGCTGCTAATACCCAAGCTCCAGAGGTTTTCTAATCATGGAAGAATGGAAGTAACAGTTGCAGCCACACTAGACAAGAGGAATGGGACATGAGGTGTAGTGACCTTGCTTTCTTGTAGTCCCCAGTGCCAGACTCGAACAGTCGATGTCTTTGAATCTGTCTGACCCACTCCTGCACAGCGCGGCCTGCGGAAATGTTTAAGGCAGCGGTCCCCAACCTTTTTGGCACCAGGGAATGGTTTCGTGGAAGACAATTTTTCCACGGACTGGGGGTAGGGGAAGGAAGAGGATGGTTTCGGGATGATTTGAGCACATTACATTTATTGTGCAGTCAAACCTCTCTGCTAATGATAATCTGTATTTGCAGCCGCTCCCCAGTGCTAGCATCACCGCCTCAGCTCCACCTCAGATCATCAGGCATTGGATTCTCATAAGGAGCACACAACCTAGATCCCTCCATACACAGTTTACAGTAGGTTTCGAGCTCCTATGAGAATCTAATGCCACTGCAGATCTGACAGGAGGCGGAGCTTATGCGGTGATGCGAGTGATGGGGAGCACTGCTGCTCACCTCCTGCTGTGCGGCCTAGTTTGTAACAGGCCATGGACTGGTAGCGGTCCACAGCCTGGGGGTTGGGGACCACAGACTTAAGGGATAAAAGAGCAAGTGTCCATGTCCACGCTTCCACTGGCAGCTCAGTTTTGAGGACGGAGAGGCACTGAGATGTGATTTCCTGGTAGTCTGACCAACTGAGAGAACTGCATTTCTGGAGAGCTTACCCATTAGGTATGGTAGAAACTTTTATTTAGGTTAACAAAATTTATAGACTATTCCATGTGGCAGGCCCTACCTATTCCATAAGCCCTGAGAGTATAGAGATGACCAAGACAGAAGTCCATCTTCCAGGGCTCTCCTGAGGACAGGACAGGCGTGGGTGGTAGGGCAGGGAGGGGCAGACTGGTACAGATATGGTTCCTGCAGCAATGGTAAGTGCTTCAGTGGAGACAAGCCAGGGGTCATGAAGGCTGGGAGGGAGGGAGGGACTGCTCTGGGAGGCGGGAGCAGTTGGCATTTGAGCTGCATCTCAGGGTAGGGTAGAGGATGGGTGTTACCAAAGCTGGAGCAGTGATTCCTATACAGAATAGCCTGCGAGGAGTTCCCATGTCTGGCATGGAGCACCAGGTGGCTACGGAGGTGTTGCAGAGGCCAGGGCATGTGACGGCAGCCACAGCAGTGATGCCAGCATGTGGTATTGCTTTCTCTCAGTCCACTGCCTGATGCATTTTTTTGCCCCTGAAAACCAGTCTCTGTTACAGCTTACATTCTTTCAGAGCTACTCCGTTGTTCCAACTATCTGTTCTTCACCTCCCCTGCCAATCGGGCCCTCATTTTCTCTTCCTGTGACCCCCTTTCCCCACTCTGCTCTTTGGCTGGGCGTGCCCACCATTGCCCCCCAGGAGGCAGCATGATGCAGTGGACAGAAGGGGATGAAGTGGTGGCTCTGGAGTCGAGGCCTGAATTGTAATCTCAGTCCATTTTCTGTTGCTGTAACGAAATATCTGAGACTGGGTAATTTATAAAGAATAGATTTATTTCTTACAGTTCTGGAGGCTGGGAAGTCCAAGATCAAGGGGCCGGCATCTGGTGAGGGCCTTTGTGCTGTCATCCCATGGCGAAACGTGGAAGGGCAAGAGAGCATGAGAGAGCAGGAGATCAAACTCAGCTTCAAGCTGTTCTACACTCAGAATTAATCTAGTCATGAGGGTGGCACCTCATGACTTAAACACCTCCCATCATGACCCACCTCCCAACACTGTTGCATTGGAGATTACGTTTCCAACACAAGAACTTTGGGGGACACATTCAAACCATAGCAGAATCCCAGCTCTGTCATCCACTAGCTGTGAGATCTTGAACAAAGCACTTACCTTTGCACCTCAGTGGTAATCTGTAAAATGGGCACAGTCAGAATCTTACAAGATTGGGAGACCTAAATGAAACACTGCAAACGCAAGGGTGAGCAGCAGATTCTTTATGTGGACTTGCTCTCCTCTATTACAAATCCATCCAAGTTTTACCTGTTCTTCTAGGACTAGGGATAGCCTCTTCTTCCCACTCCTTCTTCCCCAGGAGCTTTCTTTATAGAACTGTGGCAACCCAGAGCTTTCTCTGGCCCTTGCCTGTGCTCTGAGGATGCTTGCCTGGTATTACACTTGGTGACGCCAGTCTTGCTCTGGAGATGTCTCCAGTCTGGTGGGAAGGGCCAGACCCATGTCCCATAGCCGCTCCCCTCCTGGACCAGTGTGATCACTTATCTACATCTGCATGGGGTGCAGGCAGGAATCTCAGTGCCCTTGGAAAGTGATTAGAAGGATGCTCATTTAAGCTCTGTCCTCAGCACTCCTGCAAGAGAGCTTCGTTCACCACCTCAGAGATAGGTTTCTTCACAGAGCACACTCAGTCCCAGCCTCTGACCTCTCCTTAAGCCCCACCCCCAGGGAAGAAGCAGCCCCAGTACATCCTCACCTGTTCTCTCCTGCAAGAGAAGGCCAGGGACAAAGAAGATGTCTCATGCTATCTAAGAAATGCTTTGCTCCCTGCATCTTTTCTAAATGGACCATTGCAGCATCCTGGGCTGTGCATGGGGAAGCCTGCATGGCCTAAGGTCAGGAAGCTGAGCCAGGTGAGCACACGTTGTCCCTGCACATGAGCCAGAAATGCTAAGTCTGCAAGAATCAAGTTACAGGCCGGGTGAAACAACGCGGAGACTGAGATATCATGGGGTCCTCCACTGCACCACCGACAAGAGAAATTAAGGGAAAAACAGTTTGCTATCCTTTTCCTTTAGGTACTATTTTATAGCGCATTTGCCATATGCCTGGCAAGATGCTAAATGATATATGCATGACTTCATTTTATCCCCATTAAAAACAAAAACCCTCCTCAAATTCGAAAAACTGAGGGAAGTGCCGATAACATCTAAGTTGCACAGATGAGGAGCTGGGGCCCACGGAGGTGAAGTTTAACATCACAAACCTAATAAATGAGAGATCTGGGATCTGAACCCAGGGCTCCATTTAGTGCCTAGAAGAAGAAATTTACTTTCTGGAAAAGAAGCAATGAGAGACTGATGCAGAAGGAGAGAGGATGATGGGGTTTATAAAAACTAATTAATTTTATAAATTCTAAAATCATCTCAAACTTCCAAAAAACTTGCAACTATGAAGAACATTATTTTCCTCTGAACCATCTGAGAGTAAACTGACATGATGCCCCATCGCCCCCAGACAGTTCAGTGTCTGCAGTACAAATAGGGACATTCTCCGACTTCTCCACAGCACAACCACAGCAATCAGAAAACTAACATCGGTATCTTACTCCCAGCTAATCTTCAGACCACATCCGAGTTGTGCAAATTGTCCCAACAATGTCTTTTATAACAAAAACATCCAATCCAGAATCAGGTTTTGTGTTCAGTTGTTGTGTCTCTTCTGTTTCCTTTCACCTGAAATTGCTTCTGTCTTACTATAATGCGGGGTGAAGAAAAATCAAGGCTTTGGAGGTCACTGGCTCTTCAAGGGTTGAGTGGAGAAGCGGATGGAGAGAGGGCCCTGGTGGCCGTGGGCATCAGGCCATGTGACCAGAGAGGGCGGCCTCTGGAGATTCAGAATGGTCCAGAGCAGACTAGGAACAACGTGGGCGCAGTTCAAGGCCCCGGCTTACGCCTTCCCCTCAGCACTAGGTAACTCTAGAAGAAGTTAAATCTCTGACGGAGACCATCCATGTGGCTGACTGGGACACACAGGCAGAACTGCTTCTGGAAAATGAATTTCACCCACTGTTTATCAATTTCAGTCTTCTGTTTATTCCTATTGAAACAAAATGAACTCCAGTCTCTGAAATCGGATTTTCTCTCTAAAAGAAGCAATGAGAAAGTAGCTTTTTACCGAAACAGAGAGACTTTGGGCTGAGTCTAACTCAGGAGAACTGCTTAAATTGTACCCTTTCTCCCCTCAACACAGAGATCAGGCCAGATATGCTCATAAGTGCTGGTAAAACATTTATTTCAAAAATTCATTTGGTGTTCAGGTGATAAACATGAATTAAGAGCCAGTATCTTTTTTAAGCTTTAAAAGACAAAAGTGAGATACAATTTCACATGCAGACTTCTGAAATACAGGGTAATGTAAAATAACAGCTAAAAGACAAGCTATGAATGTTACTCTTTATTCCAGTAGGTATGATTCCCCCGTACTTGTTCATGTGCTTTGACTTAGTACTACAGAGCATCTCCTGTATGCAAGGCACTCAGGGCCACGAATCCTAGCTTCTCTCATTAGATCTCTAGAAGGCCTTCCGTGCAGATGACAACAGGACCGCATGCAGCCCTGTGCCCGTGGCCTGCGTATCTGTCGGCTCTTCCCCTCGGGCTAAGAGCACTCCTTGTCGGGAGCTCAGCTTCTCCCCTCTGAGAAGTCATTTGCTCTGATGTAGAAGCCATGCCAAAGGACAATATTCATTCAACTCTCATCACTGGGCTGGCAGCATATCACAGCTGAATCTTTCATCAGGTGGCTTTAAGTTTTGAGAGGAAGGACAACATCTCATTGTCCTTAAGGAATGATAATGCCATGAGGGATTTTTCTCTAGGAGAAAATGGAATGTTTCTGATTGATCATCAACTGTCACTGCAGTCAGTGGGATTTACTGATTCCTAAGGTCTCAGGATTGAGTCCGTCTAGGTAAGGCAGCAATATTGTCAGCCCGCTCTAGGCCAGACAACATGGTTTTTCCCCACCAGACCTCAATGTGTCCAGAGAAGGTAAATTCACCTAACTTAATAGCTTGCTTTCGTTCATTAGCACAATAATTTCTTTCCAACAGATAAAATTAATGCAGAAATGGAGAACTGATTTATGGTAATGGTTTCAGCAATTTAAAATGCCATTTTGAAAATTATTTATTAGAAGATTTTCAGAAGAAAAGGATCATGAAGTAGCTAAGAACTCTATCCTCAATGGTTAGCACAGTGCTTGGCTCACTGCTGGTCTTCAGGAGAGTTTTATTGCAAGAATCACAGGAGCAACAGCATGCTGGCACCTGCAAGCTGAATTCAGGACAGCCCAATGCCTCCCCATCCTGGCTCTGGAGAAGAGGAGCCTGCAGGGAGCTCATAGCCTGCAGGCTAAGGCTTAGCACAGAACTTGCTGGCTGTCCTGTGGCAGGAGGCACAGTTGGGATCCGTCCACAACTCTTTATCTGGTCAGTTGACCAGAGTAATGTCTGGTGAACTTTGTTCTGTCTAATGCAGGTAGATCAGAAGCGACGCTGATGATCTTAACCAAGACCTGTGCGAAGCTAGTCTGGGCTGATCTTCGTCTTCTGTACGAGAGGAGACCCAAGTCCACTGCCAATATCCCCTGCTCACCACTTCCTGCTACTGGAACATGAGTGTGTGCTTGTCATGATCTCATACACATCACATACCTAACTATACGCTTCACATTCACTGATCTCTTTCACATTTTCTAGTAGGTATTTCATAATTTCCCCTAGTTGAGCCTATTCAACAGTGTAACTCTATTAAAATCAATTAAATTTAGATTTTCTTTTATCTGCAGGGATCCTGCCTACCAAAATAAGCCACATGGTGTCACTGGGTATCCTGTGCAAACATGAGACCCTGTTTAGATCACTGTGTTCCCCGAGTCTTGGAAAAATGTGTTGTTCAACCTATGGAATGATTCGTCAAGTGTGTTTACATCAGCCTGTAACATAGGGGGCTGGGAGCTTGTAGTTTTTAAGCCAAGAGGTTCTCAACTTTTTCTTTTCTAACATCAAACATCAAAATTAAGCATTTACGTACTAAACATAGTACCCCTACTGCCTCCACGTACTGGCAGCAGGTACTTCTTTCCTTGTGCCAGGTTTATATTTTGGACAGATCATCCTTTAGCCAGTCAGCAACCATATCTGCCATTTCCTGGTAAAAATGAAGGATAAAAGCATGAGGTATATTTTTCTCACAGAGTCGAATATCTCCTTCTGGAAAATCTTTCTTGATGTCTTCATAGTACTCTTTTGGACACCAAGGATCTGTAGCACCGTAGTAAAATGTAAGCTGAAAGACAATACAGAAACATTTTATTAGAAGACACCTTCCCCTCCCAACGCGGATATGACACCAGCAGCCAGCAGTGCTCTGAGGACACTATGTCTACCCTGTACGCTAGTCCCACGGCTCTCTCCAGAGTATGACCCTTGTGAGGCAGCGAGCCTTCATGGTTCACAGGAGTGCATTAAGAGGAATTTGATGGAAAGAAAACCATGCAGGACCTCCCTTGTGTCATAGCTCACCTATAATCCACTCAAAGGACTCACTAGCAAAGTTGTGCGTACTGAGGTTGAGATGGACACTGGAGAGAAGGCGGGTAAGGATGAAGAAGAGAGGTATTGAGACATGGTCACTGAGTGACTGTGAGCATTTAAGAACCGCAATAGTTTCAAAACAGACACATGGTAAGCACAGGGGATGAATGAATACAAAGGCAGATCAGACAGACTCAGGCTTTCCAATGTAGCTGATAAAATGTGATCAGTATCCCAAGAGAGTTTATGACATTTCTACGAAAAGGCTCCATGCAGCAGGAAAGTATGTTGATCCAGTGGGGAGGTGTGGTAAGTAGACTTCAGGTGACAGCAAACAGACTGAATGGAGACAGAGCCTCCTTTGAGGCATTACTAAGACCCTTACTGGATATCCACCTACACCTGCATGTGATGTATGTATACATAATCTAGCTCTAGGCTGTTGCGCTTCACTGAAAAACTGCTACGTTTTAGTTCTTCTGTATTTCTAAAGAAAAGAGCATCAAAGTGACATCTTATATTCAGAAGGGTGCATAGTGGTAATTTCTACAAAAAATAAGAACTAAATTTTAACCATCAACTGCCATGTGAGTTGTATTTAACTCATGCTAGTTTTGAGCCTGGGGCCTCGTAAAGCTTTTGACTTTGCTTGGGGAACTGGCATGAAAAATGGTGGGAAAAATGGGTGGCGGGAGAGAAGACGGAAGAGGCAGACAGGGGTCAGGTCACAGACAGCTGTCTTCTGTGCATGCTAAAGAGGTTGCGCTTCATGCTGAAGTCCACAGGAGCTAACAGAAAACTTTACACAATGCAGTGACGTGATCAGGTCCCTAGGTTAGGAACATTACTCTGGCTACGATGGGAAGAGAGATTGGAGAGGATCAAGTGGCGTGGGGAGGAGGGTGCAGGAAATAGGCATTATTGCTCACCAGATAGTTTTACTCCGTCAATCATTAAATCCATGATCTGAATATAGGACAGGTGAGATTGTGCTTATAAAAACACTGGCCTTTATTATAATAACATTATGACTTAACTAATATCTAAAGAGATGGTTAGTTAAAAAAAAACCCTTTACAGAAGAAAATATTTAATGTAATATTCCAGAGAATGAATTATTAACAACTAAACCTTGGGTGGTGGACTTATTCTGAATCACATCAGGGATTTTCCTGGTTGTTACCTGGGTTCCAGTTTTGAATGCTGCGGAAGATCTGCAGCTTACAGATTTATCACTTAATATATTGTTCCCTTTCTCCTATTTTGCTCACTGTAATCATTTCTGGGCACTCCAAAGCCCCTAAAACCAAAATTCATTTTGCCATGGCTCTTAGCATTGTAAGAACAATTTTTGCTTCCTGGAGAATGAGAGTGCCCAGCAGTTGCCTGGTTCTTCTTCCTGGTCTCAGCTCTTTCTACAGCTCTAAAATCCTGCGACCTCACAACCAGTGGGGGAATATTCTGGCCAGTTATGGAAAAATACATTTCCCAGGATCTCTCAGCAGCTACCCTGCTATAGCTTCCCCCTGAAATACTGCTGAGAGTACAAGCTATTTGTAAGTATTAATTATCTACCAATAGGGCTAATGAGAGAGGCTCTCTGTAAACCACTCCCTATGCTTACCACAGGAATCCTTTAAATTATATTCAGTAAATAGTGTATGCAACAGTCACTGCCACAATCGTTCAGCACTTCCTCACAGCACGGAACGCCGTGGAGAAGTCTGGGAAGTCAGACTTGGGTTCGTGCCCATCAGGTCTGTTCCTCTGTTCCAGTGCCTGCTCTTGCCTCAAGACACCTGCACACTGGGAAAGCCACTCTGGGACCCTCAACTAGCACAAGCTGTAGTGTGAAGTCTTGTGAAAACTACAATACGGGGGACTCAGCTAGAAGGAAAGCAAGGCAGAAAAGACCTCCTCCAATAGTCTCCTTGACAAGAAGAACATCACGGTACGCACCTGCTGCTGCTTTCTGCCTGACATTTCAAAGACTATTGCTATGAAGAACTTACCATTTCCTTTTCATCGAGGCAATTACAACTTGCAATACTCCCAAGAGAAGCCCAGCTTGATGAGCCCTCGACAGCAGGCAAATGCCATGAAGGTGACAGGCAGTTAGGAGAGCGGGGGTGATCTACAAGGAGCACTGCTTGTCAGGTATCAGGGACCCTACATCCGCCTTTGGGTATCAAGAGACAAATCATATCCGAGTAATTACGGGGTACACACTGTCCAGGGCATGTACGAGGAGCCTCAACAAAAAGTGTTGTCAGAGTTCAAGGCAGTGTAGCAGCGAGGACTCTAGACTTCCCGTATGTTCATGTGATTTTGTTTCTTGACTGTCCACGACCAATCACCATTTAGAGTGGCCTCCATTTGGTTAAACCCCTAATTGATGGTGAGGTCAGGATTTTTATGATTTTGTTTTGTTTTAAAAGTTATTCTATCAGGCTATACTGAAGGGCTCTCTATGAAAATCCTGGCTAACAAATAAAACACGTGGTTATCTAATGCCTTCACATACGCTGGCTTGAGATACTTCCTGTTCCCTATACATTATAAATCACAGGCAACAGATCTGACCAGGACCCTGCACCTGTAACCCTAAACAGGAAAATGAGAAAGTATGGGGTGTGTGGTGGCAGTGCTGGGGGATGGGGAGGACAGGTGAAGTAGAAAGAAAGAGAAATAACTGGACACCAACACATAGTGTTAAGAGTGCATACTATCAATGTATTGGTACATAAAAATGAATCGCAATGAATAATAATGACCCGATGGAAACTGAGAATAATGTGCCAGGCTCTGTGCTAAGCACTTTCCATATATTATCTTGTTGTGTCTTTACAACAGTTCCCTGAGGAAAGGATTTTATCCTTATTTAACAGGGAAAAAAGGAAAAAAAAACAAAAAAACAAAACACCACTGAGGTTTAGGAAGAGTAACTTGCTTAAATTTAAGCAATTAGTGAGTGGAAAGCTAGGTTATAAATCCAGAGACATTTCTAACCAGTATCTTTTACTGCCATTTACAATTCGCAGTGAATGGACCCACGTTATAAAAACACTAAACCTGAAGGTTGGGAGGTCTTAGACTGGATATGAACATTAAGAGTGTGATAATTGTCAACAGGAGCAAACCCAACGACCTTTATTTAAAGCCTTCTCAAAGTCTGTGTAGCTCTTCTCACTGCTGTGTCAGGGGGGTGATGACTGCTGTGAAAATACTGGAATTGGTAACTAAGAATCTCAGGCCATTAGCAGGATATTTACATTTGAAGGTTTAGAAGAAAATTATTTCCTGTACTTTATTTCTCTTTACCACTTGTATTGCTACTCATGAGAGTTGATAAAAAGTACACATTATTAAGATGAAAACTTTTCTGTTTCCAAACTGTTGTCGGGTCAAGTAATCCATTTTTTTCTATTAAACACAAAATTTAACTTTCTCAGGTCTAGATTGTGATTCCCTAAGATTGAGTTTTTGCTTTTCCTCCTGTGTTTTCTGCAGGAAAGTGTGATTATGCTTACTATAGTCTGTGCTCACAGATGTGTTTTCCTTTCACTCTTCAGTGTGCCCCTGAGGAGACACAGACACTTCCCTCCTGAAATGTCCCTATAAGTTGCTACAGCTTGTCCCGACACAGAAGCCACACTTGTCTTTTCTCATGTGTTTTTGCACTTTTTTTTTGGTCTGTAAACATGCACATGTAACCAGTAAATTGCTGGTTAACAGATTCAAAGGAGTTCCACCTAAAACAACTCTGAACTGATCCCACATTTGGAACTGGGCTAAATGGCCGAAATTCAGCAGTGAGTAAGATGGTCTCTGCCCTGGAGATGCTCAAAGTCTAGGGCAGAGAACAGGAGGCCTGTCCAAACTGGCCTTCACACACCACAGGTGGACAGAGGCAGGGGCAAAACACCGTGGGAGCCCAAAGCAGGAAAACCTGAACTCTACCCCAAGGGAGGCAACAAAGCTGTGCTTCAGTATACATTTTGAGTTGCTGGCTTTTATGCAGTCCTAATAGAGGAGCTATTGTAAGAACAAAGAAATACTAGTTATCTTTTATGATTCAGCTAATAACTAACAAAAATCACTTTCAATAACATATCAACATCTCAAAATATTAAAAATGAAAAAAGCCACACACAAAATTCTCTGAATTATTTCTCTCTATGCAACAGGCCAATAGGACAGTAGGCATTATAGGAGTAGAGGGTCTAATAAAATGAAAGTTTTGTGTAGTTTAAGGATTATATTTTTTTCTTTTGTTAACCTTATGGATAAACTGAATTTTTAGAAGCTCCTAATTCACCATGTAGTCAAGTTAGGTACAAACTATTATAGATCTTATTAGTACTTAACCAAGTTGAACTTTATTCCTTCAGGTATCAGTCTTTGGGTAGACTGTTTCATGATACAGTGTAGACCTGGGCAGAATGGTAAGTGGCATTTCTGGGGGTTATCATGCTCAGAGTAAAAGGGCTTCTCATAATGCCTTTATATTATAGTACAGTAAAGTAATTTTATTTATATTTGGTAAAGTAATTTGTGAGCCACTTAAGCTGCTTGGCAATACGGGGAGAGCATGGTGCAGCCAATGCAGTGTTAAGAGCTGGGGCGCTGAGCCACATTCATCTGGACTGGAATCTTGGTTCTGCCATTTATTAGCATGGTGAGCTTGGATCAGTCACTTGGCCTCCCTATGCCTGTTTACTCATCTGTAAAGTGGGGACAGAAATAGCTACC